ATGCATTCTTATTGAATTATGAGCTATTCAGATTTATCTAAAACAATTTTCATAACTCTGATAAGTTAGGAAATATTTTAAAATGCAGAAACTGACTTGGAATTCCTATAAGTCAAATATTTACATTTTAAAAATAAATTTCAATGATCAGAAATATAATATTTGAATTTTAATTTAATAAAAATGTATTTAATACTAATTACCTGTTTAATATATACTAACACATTACATATCAAATAATATTCACAATAGTTATCTTTTAATATTTGCTTATATTAAATATTTTAATTTTACTCCAATTGTTGCATAAAAGTTTAACATTTAATATTATTTGCAGATATCTAAATTTGTGACAAAGCCCAAGAGGATATGTGATTTTCTTGAAATCACATATTTGTTACTTACACAATGAAACATAGGCCCCAAAGAGACAAATACAATTTCAATGTTTCAATTCACAAAATACAATGTAGTAAGGCTCAAGCCTGGGAAGGCGTGTACCCCTGTAGACCCAGCTACTTGGGAGGCTGAGGCAAGGGGATCAATTAACTCACAAGTTTGAGATCAGAACTGCCAAAATAGGGAGACCCTGTCTCAACAAACAAATAAATTTGCAATGTATTAAGATTCGAAATGAAGTGTCATCTTGAAGGTCTGTTGACTTTATTTCAAACCATTTCTGAAGGCAGTCTAAAGGAGAGATTCTACTTGTGAATCTATTGACTGGAAGACCCTGCTATTCTTCCTGTAGAGTGCTCCTGCTTTCTCTTTCAGGGCTTCCTGTTCTTTCTACAAATTTGAGCAGGAGAAGAAGGAACCCAAACTGACTGACTTGAATCTTCCCACATAACTGTTCAAATGTGGGCAGTTGCATAAGTAAAGATACCCCATTAGAATTTAATATTTATACCTATGATATAATCAATGATCAGGGAGAAGTTACTAATTCAGAATGAAAGTAAACAAAGAAATGAGGATACAAGATTTTCATTTAGGAATAAACAATGATGTAAAAGATTGTGTATGGTTCATTTAATAAAAGATAAATGGATATAAGTTAAAATAGAAGATATGCCACAATTACAGAAAAAACTATGAAAATCTATATTTAGCCTTTATCGGGTTCTCAAATCACAGCTCCACATATTTGTTTAAATCTTACCATCTGCCCATTTGGATATCATAGGATGAGCAACCTAACTCCAACTACTTAATATCTAATTACCACTACACAACATCCAACACCAAAACCCTAATGTTCAGAATGCATATAAGTTGGGCTTCAAATTTTTGATGCTGATCGCTATTTCTCAAGCTTGGTCCTTGCTCTGTCTATATCAGATGTGAGAACATGAGAATTCTCAGAATTTAAATATCATGATCATATAGTTTGACATAAAATTACTTAATTTTTGGTTATGCAAAAATGAGGTGTGTCACCTCTTAAATGAACATGTTAATGGTTAAAGAATTAATACATGATTCAGAAGTAGAAATAAATTTTCTATATTCTATGATAAGAAAATCTTCAAAATTTAACAAAACAGTCTACATTGTATTATCTTTTTTAAATAAAATATTTATATTGATAGAGTAAGACTATTGAAAAAATATATAACAAAAAGTAAAGAATTGATAAATACAGGAGTACAAATTCAAGATGATTTAAATTTTCTTCTTTGTGTTTACTTGCATTTGATATATCATATGTGCATATTTTTAGAGTAAGAAAAAAAAGACTTATTTTAGCTTATTGAGACCTACATATCTGTTTATATTTCTAAACACCTGTGGTAAAAATGAATCCAGAAACAATTGCTAAAAATAAAACAAAAACACACTCAGGTGCTTTTGTTCAGAGTGTTAAACCCCTATTATGAAGTACAGTATGTACTCAGATGGGCCACGAAGAGCCTAGAGGATCACAAGGAAATGGGTTGGGCTTTGGGTTGCTGGCACACATACATACATACCATTCCTTTCTATGAGAGCTGCACCATGATAAAGGTAGCAATTTGTTGTTTAGATTTCTTTGGCTCAGCTCCTGGAAAATCATCCTTCAGCCTCAACAATATAAGCCATTAAATTGTCTTGAATGATCATCCTTCTGACATGAAAATTAAGAAACACTTTCCAGATATTTTCCAAAAATACCAACATTTTGAACAGAGAAAAACATCTTGAATATGAAGTATACGCTTGACCTATGCTTACTCAATTTTAACATTAAAACATGGTAAATTCTCCCTATTGCCTTATAAAGTATAAATATTTCAAAATGTAAATGAGAAACAAAAATTTCATCTTTTATCATGAATTAGTAGATAAGATATCATTAAATTCATCCCTACCATTGATTTCAGTGCATTAATTATGAAAGGAAAGCTCATGAGAGTAATTTTCCTCAAACTGATATAACAAATATAAAGAATAATGACTATAATTTGAAAAATAAAATTCCATTTTTGAAAAGTTACTTTTAAATAATAATGTATCTTATTAGATTGTAAGGTTCAAGAGAGCGTTTGCTATATGTCTAGAACTGAGAACAATGTTTCGCACATGTTATCTATTAAATAATAATTCATAAAATGAATAATACTCTCTAACCTTGAAGAGAACTATACAAGCTTATAATTCTTGTTTTCTTAACTCTAGATTCTAAACTCACATAATTTAGAACCTGGTGCAATGTATGTATGACCATATGTTTTTCAATATCAAGAAGGAGCAGTGTCTAATTATACACTATCATATTCCTGAGCCTTATGTATACACAAAAAGGTCAATGAATTAGAGAAAGGCCCAGATTGTGACTTATCCATCAACCATCCTCAGTAACTAAATGAACAAGCAAGCAGCCTGATTGTTTCATGATAAAATACACTTGGAACAATAGGAGGATAGTTAATGCTATGTGAAATTCAGAGAACCCTGGGACGATAGCCAATCTTAAACCACAGCCTGGCTGGTAACTAGTGTAGCTTTGGATAAGGCCTGAGTTTTGGATGTTAGTGTTTTTATCAAGCACCATCTGATGCCTTTGACTCCTTCCTTCCAAAGAGTGAAAAATATATAAAGAACAAAATTAAAGTTATACTTTCTATGGCAGCCCACCAACTAGGCCAGACCTGTTCAAACTTGTCCATCACTTATTTTTTTGTGAAACAGCTTGTGAAAATATGCTTAATATGTTTTAGAGAATAGTGCTATGTCCAACAGCAGCAAAAGATTAGGTCAGTTTGATTGGTGTTAGAGAAGCTTGGGAGAGTAGGCCGGGTTCTCATTTTAGATTCTCTCTCTCTTTGGAAAATAGTATAAAACACCTCCCTCCCCATGGAGTAGAGAAACAGCAGCTGACAGGATTTAGAGCTGTAACACTAAGTTGAACATTTGTTTTAAAAAACTTGGATTTAAAGCACCAGACCCTGTTCTTTTCCTCACAATCCACTGAACTGGTTTTGGACAAAAACAAATGAAACAAAACCCAACAAAACAAAACTAAAAAGCAATCAGACACTTTGAACTCAACATCTTGCTTTGTCACCTAATTGTTTAATTGAGTTACTTAAAACTGTGAGCAAGTTACTTAAAACTGTGAGCGTTAGTTCCTCATTAAAAAAAAAAAAATGAAGATCATAACAGGGGGATGTTCCCTACAGGATTAAAACAGAGGATTAGATTATCTAAACATACCTAGACTTTCTTTTTATGGGGTGAGGGTGGGGTGTTAGGGGCAATACTAGGGTTTGAACCCAAGGCCTAGGCAGGCTAGGCAAGTGCTCTAACACTGAACTATTCCCTACCCCTCTGTAATTTCTAATCCTCATTATAAATTGCTAAATTTAGAGCTGTAATGTTCTCCACATGTGTTAGCAGTCATGAACAGCATACTAGCCATTGATAAGAATATAAAAACAGAAGCTGAGCCTCACAGCTATACTCTCACATTGACTTCACCTTGTCTTTTAGTTTCCTCATAAAAATGAGATAATATTATGACAACTTATTATAAATAAGTAAATGCAGGGGATGGACAGCTTGTGATTGGTGATGGTGGTGGTGATGGTTAATTTTTTCTCTTATTTCTGGGTTTGGCCTGCTCTAAGTCAGCTTATGACCCTGGTTTTCAGGAGGACATACTTCCTCTTTCCTCCAGAAGGCTGCACCTTCCTTTCTCCATCCTGATGCAGCATAACACCTTCACCACTGAGCCCCGAACACAGAGGCAACATTTATCATGTTCTTTATTGCTCCCCATAAAGAGGAACAGATTGCCCTTGGCATAATTTTTATAAAAATCCAAGACTGTAAACATTTAAATGAGTGTCATTTTTCAAGGTGGTCAACTGCTAACATGGTATGCATTTTTAAAAACCAGATACTCTCAAAAATGATCCACTGTATTGATACATCAAAGGCACTCAATAAACCTTTACTGAATAGGATTATGATTAATTTCAAGTGACATTTTTAATTAAAGAATTCATTTTTGAAATTAATTAATTTTATAGACCAACATGCTTATTGATAATTGATTCTTATAAGCCAAGCATTGGCACTTTCAAAAGCTATGCATGCTAGAAAAGTAATTTAAAAGTTATTTTATAGTCACAATTCTGCCCTTAAATGTCTTAAATATTTAAATGTACTCTGCTCTGATGATCTTTGTGACAGTAGAAAAAAACATATAATTGTTGCCAAATCAGTGAATCAGACAATAGCACATGGAAACACATAAGACACGATTCTGAAGGCTCACTGTGGCTGTTGAAAGTGATCTATGATTGTGATTAATTGCTTTTGAAATTTTGATCAAAATTGATCTGTCCAATTTTCTGGCACTGGCTCTGTAAGTCAAATCTCACCCTGGAATTACATAAATCAATTTAGCCTGGACTTCTGTGAAAACTGGGGGGAAAAAGATATAAGTAATTTCTGAGTTGTCAGTGACTGATGGATGTTCTGATTTCACGGTTTTAGTAAAGAAAAGGTCTTACCGTAGCTGTCATAGGCATCCTCACTTACTCCATGACCGTAGTCATAGTATTCAGGCACACTGCAACAGATTTAGACAGCAATCAATGTTACTGTAATAAGGAGGAATCAACCCAGAAACTCCTATGGAATTTGAAGTAAAAAAAAAAAAATGTGTGCTAAGGTAACACCCCTGGAACCTCTAGGCATAAAACACAATCCTAAAGAAACATTCAGTATAAAAAATACAGTTTTTTGATAAGAAGTGCTATGATTTTTTCATGCTGCTTCAGTACTTCTTTACCTCTATCATCCAATTTGATAAATCAAATTTCTCCTAAAACACAAGTATAATACTTCAAAATTTGTCAAGAGGAAAGTTATAAAAGGTCTATTTTCAAGAAAAAGTGCTATATAAGTTGACAATGTTGTCAATTGTTTATGGTTTTTGATGCTGTTACCTTAAGAAATATGCATCTTCACTTCCAAACAAGGAAACTGTATTTATACTCCCCTCCAACCCTTCCACAGCAGTCAAGCAGTGCCCCCAAATATAATCTATTCTTTTCAATCAGTATTTTGCTAGATACTTCCACATTTAAATAATTATCAAAAAATGTGTTGTTCCCTCTATTTCACACTTGAAGGATACTTAATGCCCCTGCTTTATGATTTTCCTCACTTCATACTACAGCATCAGTTTTCCCCTTTGAAGGCCTCATTCCTATTAGTATCCAAATGTCTTAAGAATTTTCCATCCTTAAAAACCCTCCCTCACCCACATATCTCTGTCTTGTGACTAGTCCTTTATGAAAAGCCCTTCATAGAAGTTTTCTTGAAAATATATAATTATTCATTCTTTTTACTGACTCCCCCTCCATATGTTTTTTAAGCATTTTTATTGGTGCATTATAATTATATATATAATGGTATTCATTATGATATATTCATACATGCACACTGCATAAATTGGTGTACTTCATTCCCGAGAACCTTCCTTTTCCCTCCCTATCTCCCACTCTTGATCTCCTTCCTCTACTTTTACTGGTCTCTTCTATTTTCATAAAGTTCCTTGTGTTTCCTTTTCTCTCTCTAGTTTCCACTTATAGGAGTATTCAACCCTTGACTTTTTGAATCTGGCGTATCTCACTTAGTAGGATGTTTTCCAGTTCTATCCATTTTCCTACAAATGACATTATTCCATTTTCTTTAGGGATTGCGTCAAAACCTCATTTTGTATATACACCACATTTTCTTCATCCAGTCATCTGTTAATGGATTGCTAAATTGGTTCCATAAGTTGGCTGTTGTGAATTACGCTGCTATAACCCCCTCCTTGTGCTTTTCAATACACCCAATCAGGCCACTGCTTCACTGAAACAGCTCTTGTCAAGATGGTGATCGTTTCAAATCCAATGATCAAGACTCGATCCTCCTTTTATTTTAACATCATTTTATACCGTTGCTATGTCCTTCTCCTTCAAACACTTTACTTGCTTTCAGATCTCTCTTATGGGTCTCTGAACTCAAATCATTTCCTCATTCTTCTCTACTAGTGGTACCTCCTCATTTTCCCAGCCACTTAATCCTGGAGACCATTTGGGCTAAGTTATTAGGAAATGTATCTCCTCTATTTATATGACATTCATAGGCAATCTCTTCTGGTTCTATGGCTTTAATATCCTCTCTAATCTGAGGACTTCTAAATTATATCTACAGCCTTCCACCCATAGCACCTCCCCTTACTCTCATGTGCACAACTTACCTAGTGTACTTCGGATGTAAAACTGAACATATCCAATACAAAAAAAGAAATTATTTTCTTTTCAACTCAGATCTGTTTTGCATTTTCATTTTTGTCAGTGGCCATATCTTAATTAGTGCTACCTACACCCCAAATCATGGAGTCCTTCCCTGACTCCTCTATTTTCTCTTACAATTAATGTTCAATTCAAATGGCAAATTCTCTCATTTCTGCTTGCAAAATATATTCAGAATCTGAACATGTCTAAACATTTTCATACCTATGGCTGTGGTTGAAATTATCACCATCTCTCACCTAAATGAACACGATAGCCTAGCTGGTCTCTGTGCCTTGCTTGCTCTGTTTCCATAAAAATGACAGAGCAGTCAAAGTCAATTTTATAGATGTAAGTTAGATCATCCGAGTTCTTATGGCTCCCCACAGTCCTTAAGAAAAAAGTTAAGATTCTTACTTTGCCTACATGATTTCCTCCCTTTGTATTTTCAGATCTCACTACCACATCTCCTTTGCTTAGGGTACACTTGGCCTGTGAGATGTCCCTTGAACATGGCAAACACATTATTGTGTCAGGGTGTTTCATCTGCTGTTCCCACTTTCTGAAAAAATGACTTCCTTGAATGTTCAATTGTCCCTTCATTTTTTCTGAGATTACTCAAATGCCACTATCAGAGGGTTCCTTGATAGATCCATTTAAACTAGCACTCAGACAGGCATCCCTTGCTTCTCCATCTTAGCATTAATTATTCACCACCATACATATTATGTAAACAAACACATAAATACACATTTGTTTATGTACTAGCTGTTGCCCTTTTGTAGAATGTAAACTCCTTGGATTTGGAACTCATTTTATAACTCTTTTATTCATTTATCATTGTTCTAGGCTGATTTCTACAATATTGTTTAGCACATATTATATTCTCCCCTCAAAAAATTCCTTGGTTTAAAGTTAGACATTACTTATCATCCTCTGTCCATATTTTAATTTATAAAATTTATAAATTTTCTCAAGATGATTATTTCTTTTCTCTCTCTCTCTCTCTCTCTTTTTTTTTTTTTTGTCCTTGTTGTTGTTGTAGTACTGGTTTATCCAAACTCAGAGCCTTACACAGGCTGGGCAAGCTCTCTATCACTGAGCTCCACCTCCTACCCCCCTCATTCCTTTTAAGTATAAAAATGTGTGACAAGAAAATGACTTGGTTCCAAATATCCAACTGTATAAGATCTGAAAATGGGAGAGAGATGCCAAAGGGGTAGGTTGGAGAAAAACAAAGAAGGGCCCCAAATTATAAGTTCTCCCTATGTGGCTATTATTATCCTTGAAGGCAATACCATCAGCTTCAATATTCTAAGAATTTGTGAACCTGTGACTTAATTGATAGTAAGGGCACAGAAGCAAAATAAATAAATGAATGAATGAATAAAAGTCTCTATCAGAAATAAATAGTTAGCTTCTTCAACCTCAATTTTAGCACGAAGAAGCTAAAAAAAGGTTATGTAGTTCAGCCCTTATTGCTCAGAATATTTATACACAAACTAGGAGAAATGTATGGCAATATATCTTCTCCCCATTCTGCTTGATATGGTAGAAGGTTAATGGCTTTGACTGGTGTTTTTATTTTCTTTTACATACTTTTCTTAATAGATGTTATATAACCTAATTCAGAATCCTCATATAGATGCAGCAAATTCCTGAGTTGTTCCATTAATTCCCTGGGAGGTCAGGAAGTGGCAGTAGTGAAAAAAATGTTGTATAAAGCAGAACTTCCATTGATGGGGGAAAAACACTGGCAGCTTCCTCCTGCCTCTGTCACAATCTATAATTTTTCTGGGAGTTAGCCTCTGATTATGTGTCCCAGAGTGTGCTCCATGAAGATCAGCAGCACCCAACACTACCCAGTGGCCTTAGGCTGTTTCTCGCTGGATTATAATTTTAACTTTAGTTTTTAACTTTAGTTGATGAAGACAAGGGAGAGAGATTGAGAAAGAACATGATGAAGAAGCTGCAGTGCAATTATTATCAATGACATATACACACCAAGAAGAAATCTAAATTTCAGAACTCCAGAAAGGGAAAATGGAACATATATTTGTAAAATAGTGGATAATGTAAAATGATGGGAAAATGATGGAAAATAATCATAATGGACTCTATAGATTCCACACTTTTGCTTATTCATTATCACTACTCATTTCTTCCATAGGAAATTTTTTACCTGGACAAATGGCTGTGCACATAGTGAATGCACTCCCTAGCCACTCTTTCAGGTAGACATGCTCTTTTAACTAGGTTAGGAAACCAAGGGATGTGCACAGAGGTAAGTAAGTGCGGTAACCAAGGACATTTCCACTTTGAGAGCAATGCCTTCAGACTCACAGACTGCCACAAAGGGGAACCTTGCTTCTAAGTGATCACAAGGAGTGAAATGACTCTAGACTACTGCTTATGTCAGAGACAGAAATAATTAAGAAAAATAAACATTTAAAAATGTTGTTTGATAAACTGAATATTTAATCTCTCTGTCACAATTTAGTTGAACATAGTATCAGTTCAGGATGTGGCAGTATGGAACTGCTGTTAAAATCCCAAGCTATTTAGAATTAACTTGGAAGAAAGGTGGAGAATGTAAAGAAAAAAAAAATAGAGTAGGATAGAAAGCTGATATCACTTGTTATTTCACTGTCAGTGACAACTTGAAGAGAGAGCTACAGGTCTGCATATCCTTTTTCTGCTAGGGAAAAATGTTGGAGAAAACCCAGTGTTTAGTGATCCTGGTTGATTTTAGAAAAACTCCTGTTTTGTTTTGCAAGAAGAAATGAAAGGGACTATAGCTTAGCTAAGAAAGGCTATCTCTGCATGATTATTATTAGTTCTTACTTTAAACTGATTCAATGTCCAGAGGTTTGGGATGTAATAGGATGTAAAAAGTCATCTATTTTGTATTCCAGGATCTTGGCATGACAAATGTTGCTTAAAGATGTCTTCATATCCAGCCTGTTGGCACATACCAGTAATCCCAGCTACTCAGGAGGCTGAGACAGGAAGATCACAAATTTGAGGCAACTTAGTATAGCCCTGTCTCAAAATAAAGGGCTGGGAATGTGGCTTAGAGGCAAAGAGGTCCTGGGTTCAGTCTCTAGTATTACAAACAAAACCAACCAACTAACCAACAAAAATGTCTTCACGTGTTTCCATTAGCCTTTGCTAACACATGAGTCCTAGAACAATCTTCAGGCCTCCATGTATGCACCAGCAGGAAGCATGCAACAAAACTTGTGAAGTCTCCTTTGTGGGCATTCTCTATCAAATTTAGATA